GTTACCCAACAGAGACATAAAGCTGTCAACACCACGGTGCTCTTACTTGCTTTAAACTCTCTCCCAGGCTTCATATGTTTTTTAAAGCAATATTAGCCTTTTTTGTTGTTGTCTTCCCAGGAATCTTTATAAATCTGCCTCTCCTGAGCATCTGAACACTTGTGCTTCCTTGTATATGAGTTATAGAACAGCCAAGTTGGATAGCTGCTGAAATGTTTTACAGAGCACTGGGCTGGTCAGGGCAAACAAGAACTGGACTCTAACACATAGGACTGACACTAACATTACTGTGAGCAGCACCGGAACTTCTAAAGCCCCTGTTAACTGCAGCCTCTAAGAGCCTGTTTATCTTTTTTCTGACCTTTGCAAGTTTATTACAGCTGTGTAATGGCCTCTGAATTAAGTGCCTTCAGTTTAGGAACGGGGAAAAAAGAAAGAAAAAAAAAAAAAAGGAGAGTCATAAAGACAAAATTTATCTTGAGAACAACTGCTCTTCTGCCTGCACTACAAAAGCTGATATCTATACATTTCTCCACTCATAAACCTAGACGAAAAGCTACAAATACCTACAGCAATACAATATTTCTCTATTTCTCAGGGAGTCCCTTAAAAAGAAAATGGGAGCAAACGTAACTGTGACTATAAAACCTTTACCAAAGGTCATCATTCTCATCAGAGCACCAGTCAGTTAGAGCTTATTTTTCTGTTCTCAGGGATTTTGTTCACGAACACACAGTATCAGACCAACAAGACACTTGACAGGGAGAAAGGAGTGTCAGCATTTACATCTCTAAGGCCCAAAAGAACTATTAGTATCCGTCTTTGCTTTCAAACTCTTTATATATACTTTACAGAATTAAAAAAATAACAAACAAAATCCAAACTAAAATGGTCTCTAGCTTCAGTAAACTATTTCAATTTTTTTTTTTTTTTTTCTGAAGTTCACATTCCATTGATTTTAGCACTTATTTTGAGGCTGAAACGTAGGAACAAACTGAAACACTGACAATCAAAGCCCTGGATGTCATTTCATTACATCCTTCAGTAGTTCCCTTTTTATCAAAACCAGGAACAGCACTAAAAGGGCCTTTATCAATATTTGTTTGAAGAGAAGTTTCATACTAATTTGTCAGTAGATTAAAAGTCCTCCCGCTAATGCCTACAGCTGCGTTTCACAACTGAACAGAAAAAGAATTATGAATGCTGCAGCACTCACTGCAAAGATGCAGGCTTCCAGACATACTGAAACAGTGTGATCAGCGTCCAGAAAGAGATCGCTTGGTCACACAGGTTCTTAGAGAACAGACTTGAAAAAGAGCAGAGGAAAAATATCTGGAAATCAGCTGTCGATTTATCCTGAGAGCATTTCCAGGAGAGGAAAAAAAATGAAATCAATTTTAAACAGCACCATTATCTTATTAAAGAGACCTGCCTTAACTAATTTAGTATTGAGTATTATAGAACCTAGGTAGGTATTCAAACAGGAATAATTTTCTTCTTGCTTTCAGTATCGATACGGAGTAATGAATAAACTTTATTATGAATCATTTAAAACTAAAGGGATTCCGACTGCTTAAAAAACACCAGCAAGGAAAAACATTTTCTCATGCATTACCTACTGCCCCGCACTTGTACACTCCACCCCGAATCAACGCTAGAAACGAGCCAAAGAGCAATGAATGAAAATGCAAGCTCTTAAAAAGTTTGCTTTCAGAAATGAGTCTTTGTCGTGTGAGAAATCTCCCCTGAGCCAACAGGCCAGATTCAATCTGAGCCACCAATATCATCGTAAAGCCCTAGGAATTCCTTAGCAAACACAGCAGCAATCAGCAAGCAGTATACATATTCCAAAACATTTAAAAACATTCCTTGTAAGTGTACTTCAGTAAGGCCCACGAGCAAAAAGATTCAGCTCTAAAATTTCCTGTAAAATTGAGCAGCAGTAATGCTTCAGTCTCTCAAAGGCATCCAAAACTCCACACATTACTACTCCAGTGCCTTGTATATGATTAACTCGTTGCTTTTTATAATTATTCAATAATTATTTTTCCATCAGTTCTTAAGTGGATTAGTGCTACAAGTCTCTCATCGCAAAGCTTTCTTCTCCTCTCCTCTAGGTTAGAAGAAAACAGTTAAGAGGTTTAAAAGCAGACACACAGTGATCCAAGAAACAGAGAAAACCGGAGAGGTTTCTTACCCTTCATTAGGTACAGAAATGAGTCCTACTTTTCTAAAATAAAAGAAAATAAGATCTGCAGCCCCTTAGCAAACCTCAGCAATTAGATCGCCTATTGAGCCAAAGAGGTCTAAATCAGCATCTAATGGAAAATCGCTAAATAAATCTCACGTAGCAGGGAGTCATGTGACGGCCAGCCCGAAGTATCTCTCGCAATGTCATTTACACAAACTCTTTGTGTATAAACAACCGCGTTTGTATATTCCCTCTCCGCGCGGTTTTAAATACAAATACGGAGAGGCTTTAGAAGAAAGGCAACGTTACGGGTGGCCCGCCCTGCTCGTAGCACACGGCTAATTTCGGACTTTCAAATACGATTTTCCAAACGTGAGGCTATGCCGCATTAAATACAGCGGCATCTGAGGTCGGTCAGGAAAAGAGACATTTTAGACAGTCGGGCTGCTTGGAAGAAAAGAAAGCAAAGCAACCACGTGTGTTCCTCAGACTCACCCTAAGCACTCCCTGAACGCGAAACCGACCGGCAGCGAGATAGCAGAGTATGAAAGTTACGGCGCCGCAGAGAACTGCGGGATCGCTGCAGAAGTAACGCCGAAGAGTTCAGCTGTCAGAGCTGAACCTCGTACGTGCATCCCCTTCCCCTTTACACCCCACCGAGCGCTGCCAAACGCAGCCGGCAGCACCTGGGCTCTCCCAGCCGCGAACGCCGCGTGCCCACCGCGCAAAGCCGCACCCGGAGCCGCCCGCCCCGCTCGGGCCCGGCCGCCGTTTCCCGAGGCTCGGAGCCGAGCCAGGCGCCGCACGGCCTGGCCGAGGCTTTCCCGCAGGACCCCCCCGCGTTCCCGCGCCCCGCAGCACGGTTATACCTCCTACGGGCTTGGCGACGGCGCCGTTGGGCCTCCCGCGCGTGCCCATGGGGCTGCCGTTCTGCTCCAGCCTGGCCACCTTCCCGGGGGGGGGCCCTTTGACATCGGGGCTGCCGCTGCCTCTGTCGGGGCTGTCCCGCAGGCAGGGGCTCTCGCTCCTCCGCTCCATGCTCGGGGACGCGGCTCCCGCTGGCAAGTCACAGTAGAAGGAGCACGGACCTAGGGTGAAAAAAACGAGGAGGCTTCAGCCGCCGCCTCCTCCCGGGACCCCGCGGCTCCCGGCGGGTCGAGGCCGGGCGGACTCCGGGCAGCCCCCGCGGGCAGGTGCCGCGGAGCAGGGGAGGGGAGAAGCAGCCTTCCCCCGCGCCGCCCGCCGCGGACCGCCGGGAGCCGCCGCCGTACTTACTGCTTAGAGCCTGGCTGTAAGTTGGCTGAGTTGGGCTCTGTCCATGGATCAAAAGTAGAGAATCCAGGGTGGAAAGTTTTCTCGGTTCCTCCTCGCGCGCCGCTTTCTTCCCTTCTCCCGCTCCCCCCACCCTTAGCCCCCTCCTCGCCCTCGCCCCGGGCTGCGGGGCCGAAGCCCCCTCCCGGCGGGTCCCGGGTGGCGGACGGAACGGAGCGGAGCGGGCGGGAGGGGGCGCGGGGCGGGGAGGCGCGGGGCCGCCGCCGCCGCGGTGCGGAGCGGAGGGCTGAGAGAGGCGGATCCGCGCCCGCGTTGAGAGCGGCGAGCGCCGAGGGCGAGAGGCGCGCGGCGCCCCGCAGAGTCGCTCCCGAGCGGCGCGGGAAGCGGCGACCCCGCGGCGTCGCTTTCAATCTCTCCCTCCTCTGCCGGCGACGGCAGCGGCGGGAGGGACTCGCCGCGGAGAGCGGAGGAGCGATTATCGGCGGCGTTGAATCATCGAGGCGAAGCGAGTCCCGCTCGGGGCCGTCCTCGCGTTCGGATTTGGTGCGTGTGCGCGCGTGTGCGTGTGCCTGACCGTGTGTGTGCGCGGCGCGGCCGTCCCAGGGCTGTGCATCCCAAACACCGCCACCCCGCCTCGCCCCCACAGCCCTCCCCCTGCCCGCCCCCCCGCAAAAACCGCGCCGCGGGGCTCGCTCGGGCCCGGGCGGCGGCGCGGACGCCGGTGGGAGGCAAAGACCCACCTGGCGGGGAGCGGAGTGCCTGGGCATGGAGCGGCGCGCGCGGGGACAGAGAACGGAATGGAGCCGGACGGGGGGAAGGAGGGAGCGGGGAAAGGGCAGAGCGACGGGATGGGGTGCCGGCAGGCGAGCGGGGCAGGAGGGCGCGGGGACGGGGCAGCGGGGCGGGGGGAGGGCCGAGGGGCAGGGGTGGAGGAGGAGCTGGGAGAAGAAGGAGAAGAAAGGGGGAGAAAGGGGAAAAAAAAAAAAAAAAAAAAAAAAAAAAAAAAAAGAAAAAAAGAGAGAGAAGAGAGAAGAGGATAAGCCGGAGTTGAGGAGCGGGGACCGACCGGGCAGGAGCGGAGCTGCCACCGGCATCCAGCCCCGGCGCACGCTCGGTCCCACGCAGCCTCCGCCGCCCCTCTGCCAGGAGCCGGAGGCCGGCAGCGGCTGGCCCGGCCAACGTAGGGCCCCGCCGGCGCCCGGCTGCAGGCGGTTACCGAGCGAGCCCTGAATAATTGATGGCGGGGCCGGGAGGAGGTGAGAGGCGGCCGGGAGCGGCTGCTGCCGCCGCTGAATTATTGAACAGCGGAACCGCGGGCAGCGCAAGACGCGCGGGGATGAGCGGGCGGGGCTCCGGCGGGGCGCGGTGCGGGCCCGGTGCAAGGTGCGGCGCTGCCCGGCAAGGCCGTGCCCGCAGGCGCGCCCCGAGGGCTCGCAGCGCCCCCTGCCCGGTCCGGGGCCGCCGGAGCCCCGCGCCCCGAGCTCTCTCCGCCCGCCACCGGCGGAACGAGCCCCGCGTTAAGGTGGAGCGGGGAAATCGCCGCCGGAAGGCTCGAGCGGACGGCCGACGGAGAAAAGCGGCGGACGGCTCCGGTGCCCCCCGCCCTACTCCCCCGCCCGTCCGCCGCTCTGCTCTCCGCTTTGCGAGTGCCGCCCGCCACGCCACCTTCCTCACCGGGCCCCCTTAAGAGCCGTGCCTTTTACGGTGGCGCCGGAGGGTCAAAACAAAAAAAAAAAAAAGAGAGAGAGAGAGAGAGAGAGAGAGAGAGAGAGAGAGGGGGCTGCGGGGGGGTGGGGAAAAAAATCGGCACCGGCGGACCCCGCCGCGCTGCCCCGGGCTGGGCTCCGAGCGGTGGGGACGGCCCCGGTGAGCGCTCGGTCGTCCCGGAGCGGTGCAGGGAGCGATGCCAGAGAAGCGGCGGACCGCGGCAGGGTAAGAGACACCGCTCGGCCCCGCGACTCCCACCCCCGTCCCGAAAAGCGGCTCCGCCACCGCGGCTGCAGCACTCGCGGCTGCACCCCCAGGCATGGCAGGGCAGAGCGGGGCACCGCCGCCGTGTCGCTGCCCCAGGCCGGGACAGAGCGAAGCCGCGAGAGCGGGTCTGGGCATCCCACGGGGCCCATCCTCTCCCGTCGTGAAGCAGCCCCGTAGCTGGGAGAAGTGCCGCTTTTCCTTTTGAAAAACCCGAGCTATCTCCCCTCCCTCCCCCCCTCCCTTTTTTTTTTTTTTAAATCTCACACCGCTGTGCCGTAGCACGCGCGGGGAAGTTCCCTTTTTCCCTGGGTATCGAATAATCGCAGAATGTTCCGTTCTTACCTTTGATGTCCAACTCCGAACTCCCGCGGATCAATGGCCACAAAGTTGGCGGAATTGGGAATTTGGGACTTCGACACTTCTGGAAAAAAAATGCCAACGGTTTAGCCAGGATCTCCCCGTCTGATTCGTTACTATTATTATATCTGATGATGTGGATAGATGGAAGGACTCAATCCAAGCCCATTAATGAGCGATTTTATAAACGCCGCCGTCGGAGGATCTCCATTCACACGGCGTCAGGGATCTCTCCCAGCAGCAGAGCCGTGCGGATCCCGGGACTTCAGCACAGCTCCGATCAGAGCACGCCGCCTCGTCAATCCATTAATGTTTTATAGCATGTAAATATTTCATAAAGTTTTTAGGAAAACTATCGATTCTAAATTATTAAACTAGTCAGAAGGGCGTTTGAATAATGCATACGATTAAATACACTTAAATATATATGTGGCAATCGCTTTATTTGCAACGAACCCTCTGCACCTTTACGCGGCCTTTGGTTTTTGCCCGCTTTGCTCGCAGGGCCCCGCAGTGCCGGCATGTCCGCGGTGTGTCCGTGCGGTTACACGCCGGGCGGCCCTGCGAAATGCTCCTTTAACTTTGCGGCCGGCAGCCGTAAGCGTTTGAAACCGCGGACGCGGAAGCGAAGGGTTTTGTTACTGAACGAACTGGCGAGGACCCGAACCGAGCGCTGTGTCCCGGCCAGCAGCCACCGTTTCGTTAAGGTTAATTCAGACCGATTTTAAATACGAGGTGTTTGCTTTCTTTGATAAGTTTTTCCCAATAATTTTTTTTTCTTTCTGTTTTAAATTACGAATGTTTTTTTTTTTTTTTTCCTCCTGCGTATGACTTTTACGTTGCCATTATTTTCCCCGAAAACAAAACAAAACAAAACAAAACAAAAGGGCAATTATTTCCCGTCATTTCTTCCTGTCCAACCCTGATTTCGTGTCATGGTTTCATGATTTTTGGTTATTGGTCCACTACATGATGATAAAACCATGACATCTCGCTGTAAGAAAAAATTGAGTTTTGATTACTAACTGTGACCTCTTTTTCTCTTTCAATGCGAACTGCAGCGCGGGAGCTTTCTGCCCTCCCGCACCACGCCGTGAGCAGTGTGAGCTCCCCGAGCCCCGCGCTCCCCGTTTCGAAGTTTCCGGACCAAAAAAAAAAAAAAAAAAAAATCTGCACAAAGCAAACGAACAGAACCACCACCTCGGCAAGGTTTGGTTTCCATCGGCCACCGCTCCAGAGGCGGCCGGCAGCGCTGCCGCCGGCCGGGCCGGGCCGGGCCCGGCTCACGCTCGCCCCGCGCGGCTCTACCGACGGTCGCCCGCGCTGCCCGCAGCGGGACCGCCGAACCCCCCATCTGCGAGCGCTTTTCTCCCCTCCCGGGGTCCCCCCGTCCTCACGGCGTCTTCCGTAGATCGCGGCGTTAGGGGACGCCGCAGACCTGACGGCGGCTCGGCGCAGTACCGTCGCGGCCGCCGCGCGCCTGGGCTCGGAGGGCCGGCCCGCGGGGCGCTACCTCTGAGCGCGGAGGACCCGGGCAGCGGCGGCCTGCGGGAGGCGGCGGGATGGCCCCGGGTAGTCTGGGCGGGGCCGGGCGGCCGCGGCCCCCGAGGGCTCCCGGCTCCCCTCTCGGCAGCCGGGACTTGAGCCCCGCGCCGTTTCTCGGGGCTGGGGCGTCCCGCCATCCCCGCTCGACTCGGCTCGGCGCCATCCCCTTCGCATAGCGCCATCGCGCGGGCGCCGACGCAGCGCCGCTCGCCCTCGGCTGCCTCCCGCCCGCGGCCCCTCGTCCCGGCCGGGCAGGACGAGCAGCACCTGCTGCGGGAGCGGCCGCCCCTCCTGGGCTGCGCCGGGCCCCGCTGCCTAGGGCCCGGTCGCTCCGCGCCGCTCCGCCCCGCCGCCGTCGAAGTTATCCCGCCGCGGCGGTGTGCGGGCCCCGAGCTCTCGCTCGACTCGCTCAGCTCCTCGGCGGCAGCCCCGCGCCGAGCCTCGCTACCGGGGCCGCGCCGCGGTTCCGCCACCGCCGGGCCGGGCCGTGAAGCCGAGGCGAAGGCTCGCTTGGACTCGGGACGGGTCCTTCGGCACCCCGCGGGGACAGCCCCGGCTCCGGCCCGGACCGCCGGCGGCAGCATCGCCGCTTCCCGTTCGCACGCCTCTGCTTTCCGAGCGCAGCGGCAGACCGCGAGCCCCGAGGCTTGGCCACGCGGTTCCCGACGCCGCTCCGTTCGCACTGCGGGTTCACGCCGTGCCCATCAGAAAAGAAAAACCGAACCAAAAGCGGCTTTAAGGCGCCCGAGCTGTAACTCCGTGATTTTGGAAGGGTGACGTCTCTGCAGACCGTGCCCTCGCTTTCTTCCTTCCCCTCGGAGACACTAACGCTGGTAACGCGGCTAAGGGGCCGCGTGTCCTTCGTCGAGGAATTCCCGCGTCAAGGAATTCTCCCGGCAGCCGCACAACGGGGCCCCTCCCGGCTCCAGCCTCTGTCCGCACCCGGTGGCGGCTCGCCCCTCACGCACGTGGCCGCACTCGGGCCTCTCCGCCGTATGCCCGCTCGGCAACTCCCTCACCCTCGCTGGCGTGCGTGGCTCTGCGGTTTTGTACGGATTTTCCAAAATAAATCTTTCTCTATTTTAAACCGTCGGGAGCGGGCGGCGCGGACCCGTGCCCTGCGGCTGTTCTCGGAAAGAGCGCTCCTGGCCAGAAACGAAGAGAGGACTCCGCTGCCTCCGTTGCGAGCGCGACGCTCTGCCCAGCCCCGGGAACGAACGAACGAACGAACGAACCGGAACCGTCCCGGCCCCGAACGCTACCGGCCCCCGCCTGCCGCCGAGTTGCGGGCGAGCGACGGCGGCCGCTTTCCAGTACGCCGCACTGAGAGCCTGCGCCCGCGGCACGCGTCGCTGTAATTGCGACGATTTGGGTCAATTAGCGACGTGTGAGCCCTTCTGCCCGGCCGGCTCCGGCTCGAGGGACCGGAACCGCCCCGTCGGGAACCGTCGCCTACGGAGCTCTCCCGAGTCCCGTCGCGTCCCTCACCGCGCTCTGCGTTCTCAATCCCGACTTCTACCCGTGCTAACAGTTCCGCTCCTCTCACCCGGCCCGCTCGCGTAAAACAAACGGCACGGAGCGCTCGGAGCCCGCACCTCCCTGCCCGCACCGCGAGGCACAAAGAGGTGCTGTGGGAGCCTTGCGGTGCCGCCGCCCCCAGAGCCTGTCGCTGCCGGGGCCCGGGCTGAAGGGCTGAAGGGCTGGGGCTGCGGCTTTATGGTTCTCTGTGCAAATAACGGAGGGCTGCGGGACTGCCCGAGGAAAGGGGGCAGCCACGGCGCGGGATTTCGAGTGAAGACAAACAACAGAGGTTTTATTGAACTGTAAAGGCTGGGAATATCGCCGAACACATCGAGGAAACGCACCCTAATACACAAGAGCAGCAAACGTCCCACGAGAGAGCAAATACCGCACAGGTGCGGCAACGTGAGGCAGTTCGGTGCCTCTCGGGTCACGCCGCGAAGCGGGCTTTTGTCCGTCCCCATCCCGTGTCCAAAGCCCCACAACGGCCCGGCGGGCAGCGCTCAAGCACTTGAGGTTTCGCGAGCCCCGTGCTGACAGCAACAGCGCTCTACAGAGCACTCGCATATGGGGTCCCGGGGGAGGAAAAGGCCAAACCCCGCCGCCTCGCCGCCTGCAAGCAGCCCGCGGTCTTTTCCCGCGACCTCAGGATATCGCCTTCCCTCGCGCGCAGATATTTGCGTGGAGCTCTCGGAGCCAGGGCTGGCACTCGTTCTGCGAAGGGGCACCGGCTGCGGGACCCGGCTGCCCGGTACCGCATCGCACCGCACCGCCCACAGCCCGCTCCTACCCGCTGGCCCCGCGCAGACAGCCTCGCTTCGGCTCCGGCAACCGACGGACGCCGTGCCCGCCTGTGACGGGCTGCTCCCGGCCGTGCCCCGAACCGGCCGGCCCGCGCTGCCCTGTCAAGGAGGGGAACGGGGGTACAGACACCGCACGGGCCCTTTTCCCCTCCCGGGGCTCGCGTGGGGACCGTGACGAATTTCGTGTTCGGAAAGGACTGTCGCCGTAAACCACGCGGCGAAACGAGCCCAGAAGCGACGCGTTCGCGGCGGGGATGGGGCTCCGCTCGCTGCCCCACGGCCGCCGCGCTTAGCCTCGCTGCCCCGCGGGAGGCGCGGAGACCTTCCCCGGTCAGCCTCCGAGCAGCCGCGGGCACCTCCGGCCCGGGCCCCTGCACAGTGCCCGTCGCCCCGACACCTCAGCTCTCCGTCAGCGCGGCGGGGATTTCACGTTCACAATTACCTGTAACAATTCGGAGCGGTTTGTACACGAGATACTTTGTCTCGCATCCATCCCTGCGCCCGGTACGTCTCAACCCAGAGACACCGTACTTCTATCGGCACCGTCGCGGCGGCTGCAAGGGGAGCGCTCCGCTCCCGGCCCTCCCCGGCCCGCGCGGGGAAAACGAACGCCGCGGCTCCGTCCCGCGCTCCGTTCCCTAAAGCGCGACAACAAAAACTTCATTGAAAACCCTACCGTTAAGGAGACATTGCGAATGAGTGACGGAACGGGAGGCGCCCGTTACCGGATCACCCTTCGGACAAAACAAAGCGGCTCACACACGGCTAGACGAGGTCCTCGATTCTCCGACATATTTGCAACAGCAGTTAGAAATAATAATAATAAAATAAAATCACGAGATTCGAGCCGGTCACTACTGACTATCTCAGATTTCACGGTCGCTCTCTAGTTTTTTGGTTTAACTCTCCCTTCCCTGCCCCTCGCATCATAAAAGCGAGCAGAGCAGCATAAAGTTACCTGTCTGCTTCTCTGAGCCTCCTTCGAGTACAGAAGGTAACAGTCACCTCACCTATTAGCTCGTGAAAGTAATAAAGAGGTGGTAACTCGGAGCTACTACATTTTGAGGATTGTGTCACATGCTGGAGCACAAATAAGGGTATTATAGCCCTAGCGATTACTGGATCCGTTCCTCTGTGCAACAACCTCAACCTGTGGCGCCGCCAGCTTTCTGTGGGCATTGACTTCGTCCCTTGGAGCAGCCCCGCACCTCTCGCCTCGCACCGCGCTCGGCGATCGGGCTCTGCCAGCGACCAGAACGGGCGCCCACCCAGCCCCGCGCTCGGTGGGGTGGTGGCGGGCGGTCCACTCTCCCCTCGCCCACCAGGGAGGGATTTGCCCAACTTCGGCCAAGCGTCTGCCAGCCCCGCTCTTTTTCTAAGGCGCTCCTTGGAAGGGCTGCCCAGAAGTGCGGCCACGCGTCGGTGGCTCCGGCGGCTTTGCAGGGGAGTGCCTCCCTGCGGCTCAGGGAGGGTGCGGAGCGCCCACCTCGAGGGGTTTGCTCAGAGCGGCCCGGTCCTCCCGCTCTGGCCCCGAGAGGGCCCCGTGCCAGGCCTCGC